AAAGATGCTAACTCCAACTCCATCCCATAAAGATAAAGTACCAAGAGAGACAGGGGGACAATTCAATGTTTTTGTTTGTCCTGTCCGGGCTCCTACTTGAAAGTGTGATCCCCTTGGGACTGCATAATCTCAGTCTGGATGAATAGCCCTTAGGACAACTCCCAGATATCTCGTTCAGCCTCTAGTGTGAATCTATGTATAATTAAATTTATATATGTGTGAATATATGTATATGTATGTGTATGTTCGTGTGTACGAATGTACGTTTCTTCTTCCTTTTTTTCTTCTTCTCGGTTACTGACTGTAAACGTACTGGGCACACAGTGCTACACCTATGTTTTATAGACCATGCCACGGGGTCGCTACGGTAGTCATGAAGGTCACCTCGAGGCATACCGAAACACCCTGGCCAGTGGTGCTCCGGTGAAGCTCAGAATGGCCTAACAGACCGGCAATAGATTTATAATCAATACAGAGACTACAATTAATTTAGACTTTCAAAAGCAATATAATTTTATTAACGAAATTGTTCAAATTTGCACATAAAAATACCTTAGGGTTCAGCCAATCAATTGTCAGGTCTTTAAAAAAAAATCAGAACCATTGATAGTTGTTATAGAATCGATAGAAGCTGTTTTTCCCTTAACTAATAAAAACTCGCTATAAGATAACAATGCGTTTTTTTAAAAACAGTATACATTACTGTCAAAAAGTATATGACTTCACAATATTATTGATTGGTTTTTGTTTACCTGGTCGATTCTCATTTTGTGTCTTTCCACTATGGGCTTTTAGACATTGTTTTGACATTTGTAAAGACAACAAAATATTACTGATATCCTGACTGACCTCTCCTTTGGAAACATAACCATAGTAGTTGAGTTGTCCTGCCTTCTCCTTCTGGTAAAACGAGAGCCAGCTGTGGAAGCCGTTGACTTCAGTGGAAGATTTGTATTCACCCGCCAAAACGTGTTCAAATCCAGAGGTATCGTTTACGGTACTGGTCCCGCTACGGGGGTAGAAGTCAAGCCATAGTTTGGTCAGAACTGATCGTAGATCTGCTTGGTTGTTGACAAAGCCTGAAGTACAGAGAAACCGTTGAATGCAAAATATAGCTCGACAGCCCAGCAAAAGGAAATGAAAGAAAGACATGCGTTCGACAATTTATTTTTTTAACAGCAACAAACAAAGACTAAGAAAACTAAAAGTTAAGGAGCCTTTTCTACGCCTTCAAGCGCATTTCGCATATAAAGCTAGACTCACATTTTAAAGACCAACTGGCACTCTGATGTGGTCAGCATCAAACTGGCCGCCTTTACGTCTCGCGACTTTACCTGGTACCCACTCAAGGATAAGTCAACCTGGGATCCAAGATCATTTTTTTAAAAAGTCTGACTCCGTCAGGAACCGAACCAGCGACCTTACGATCTGCACGTGAGAGTTTAGCCTCTACACCATGGGAGCTCCCCAAACAAAGAATACTTAGCTGTAAATACAGTTAATGCAATCCCACAAAAATTATCCCCTGAAACTACAATGCTCATATGGGAGGAACGAGAATGATAAGATTAGTAGATCATGTTTTGTAAAATGAGGAGAACGAATAATTTACATAATCACCATCATCTTGTGGATTGAATTACAGTTTATATTGCCTGACATCCGCCGTGCTTATTTAACTTATGACAGCCAAATGATGTAAAACAGTCTTGTGCCTTGTTTATGCATCAAACAGCAGAGCCATTTAAAATTCAATTATATTAATGGGAAGAAGTGAACTAGACCTTTCAATCGTGGTTTCCCTATTTCCAATCGCTTCTGCAAGTTGCCGATCAAGCCGTATTTGGTTTTAACGGTTCAGCTGCTGCAGTCAACTATCCAGTACAGTGTTTCCCAAACGTTTCTGGTCGCGGCGCCTTTTTTTTTAAATTACAATTTTTCCATGGCGCCCTAACCTAAGTACAAGTATGACTATTCGTGTCTTGGTTAAATTAATTATGAAGTTTTTGCAATATTTCTCGGTGCCACCGGGGGGCCGTTTGGGAATCACTGATCCTGTATATGCTCTCTAACAGTCAGTTCCCACATTACCTTGAAAGCAGCAGCAGCACTCGACCAGTTATGGTATGTGCTAGAAGAGCCGAGGATCTTGAGTATCACCAGTTATGGTATATAAACATTAGGTCATAAAAAGATACCACACCAGCACGGGGAGTCCAGAAAATAAGACAATTACAGCAGTGTATACAACCACTGATTAAAGTCAACAATCTGAGATCATGCAACCTTCTCGTGGCATCTTATGAATGGGAGTCAGAGACTCTTACTCATTCAAAGAAAAGAAAATTCAGAAAAAAAAAAAAAATTGCGAACTTCTGAACTTAAATGCAACATAAATTTTTTTAGAATACCGTAAACCAAGAAGAAGAAAAATATCGATATCCTACATGATCTGAACATAGAGGAGAATTGGCTGATAAACAGCATCCTGTCAGTAAGCTGGGGTATTTTGTCCATGTTAAACATCAAGGTGGCATGGAGAGAATGGTGATGGAGGGAAGGGTTTCCTGAAAACGAGGCAGAGGACAACCTCCGTCAATGTGGATGCAAGACACTGAAGATGCATCGTCTATGAACGCCCGTAGAGCTGGATAACTGGCTAAAGAAAGAAAGATTTTCAGGCGTGTCGTGAAGAGATCGACGTTCTGTAAAAGACATGCTGATTGATGACGACATGAAACAATAAAAAATAAAACACACACACAAAATGCTAATTACTTCCTTTATTGTGCCACTTTTGCGGTTTAGGCAGGGGGGTCTTCGAACCTGAGGATTTACGGCCGCATGGCTAGTGTTGTCGCCACGACTGTGCAGGTGAGGATTTTATTCTGCCTGATGACTGCGACATTTCTTCCCCCTCTCTTGAAATCAATGCAAAAATCGTCTGTCTGATGTTATCAAAACATCCGTGGATTGACATACTTCTGCTTCTGCTGCTCTTTGTCTCCCAGTCGAGCATAGGCCCTTAACCAACTAGCGCTAGGCCGCCCTATCAATTCCAATCGCGTCTAGCTCACCCAGCACCCACCTTATTATTTTCACTCCATGTGTTTTTAAGTCCACCCTGATTCCCTTACCCCTCTGATACAAGGTCCGACAATTAAGTAATGAGAAAATAATGCCATTTATAAAGCAAAGCACTGAATCTAAAGAGACAATATTCATCTATGATCTGGGAACTTTTCATCACTGCTGGATAAGCAGACAACAAACAAGCCGCCATTTTGTTGACCTAGTCAGAGATGCATTGTTACGTAATCAGCACGGTTCACTGACATTAAATTCTTTATAAAACCTAGAAAAAGTGCCATTGAAACAGTTGAACTGATTCAACATGTTTATAGGGATAATTGTTTATCTCGTGCACAGATTTTCAGGTGGTACACACGATTTAAAAGTGGCGTAGAAATGATTACTAATGCACCTAGACCTGGACGCCAAATTTCTGTTCGTAATGATGAACTCATTGCAAAAGTCAGAGAACGGATTAAAAAAAAAAATCATTGTTTTACAGTTAAGATGATGGCAGATGAATCTGGTGGTAATAAAGAGACAATTCATAACATTTTAGTGCAAGATTTTGGCAAGACAAAAGTTGCTGTCGGTTTGTACCACATTCGTTGTTTGATGACCAAAAACATCAACGTGTTGAGTACCTAAAAGACATCATCAAAACAATAATTTTTAGCCCCAAAACAAGTCTGTGTTTTCAGCCATCCATCCTATTTCAAAGAAAAGATATAAAACCGAACTAAAAGTATATTAGTAAGCTTCATAATATAACGAATACAAACAAAACGTGAATGCTGTGGCAAAGGAGCATTCATCAGCACATATGAATCAAACAATTCTACACGGATACACAAAATCACTTAGCTGGTATCTCGAAGCAGCCGGGTCGGTGGTTTCTCAGCAGAATGCCTACACTTGTCAGCTGGAGGAATAAATACCCCCTGTGGAGTACCAGGGGCCATAACTAGGGGGTTAGAGATAAAACTGTGAGGGCAGTTCAATCCCATGGAAGTTTTAAAAAATCTGTGTTGGCAGTTCAGTTCAAAGGGTGTTAAAGTCCCCAGAGTATAAATAAAGCGATTCTCAAGAGACTTGTGGACTCTGTCGCTGGAGTGGCTGGATTTAATGGCCTAATTTCACCCTATTTTCCAGATTTGTCTCCCTGTGAGTATTTTGTATTCCCAAAATTAAAGTTTTGATTGAAAGGACGCTTTTTTAACGATTTTGATAACACCCAAAGGGCAGTAACATCGACTTTAAGGGTCATAACAACAGAAGAACTACAGAGGTCATGCCAGTGTTTGTTAGATCGTGCCACTTGCTGTATTAAAACACAAGGGGCTTTCTTGTAGTAAAATACAGGTTATATCTTCAACTTTTGATTATTTTAATTTTTATGGAATTAATCTCATTACCTAACTGTTGGACCTTTTATTACCCATAGACAAAGGAAACAGTTGGACAGTCTCACCTCTACACTGCAGATAGTTTAGCAACACGTTCATCACTCTCGTATTTAGGATTGCATTCAAGAAGGCCGTGTTTTCACTGCTTTCAGACGAGGTCAGCGATTCCTTAACTCCTTTATCTGGGACATAGTTGTCCAGTAGGGACAGGAATGTTTGGTAGGTAGGACCAGAGAGTTTGTTTTCGTTCACGTGGCTGAATAGCCTTTTGATAAGACAATAACAATACATGATTATTCCAGTGCACGATAACAGTTAATTAAAGGATTACGAGCTGTAATAGGGATTTAAAAAAAAGGGGTGGCTTCAGTCAAGCTAATAAATATATATTAATCCATTGAATTGTGTCTAAGAAGCTTAACGAAGGGGAGAAGAGGATACCTGTTTTTGTTATTGTTTCAGTGCTTTCTGACGATTAAGGCTCCTTCCAAAACGTCCGATTTTTCGCGTGTGCTTATGTGTGCGTGCATGCGTGAGTGTATCTGCATATGTGTGTGTTTAAGTGTACTTTCTCGTTCCATTCTTCATCCCGCTTTCCTCCGTTAAGCTTTCTAGTCACACTCCAGTCAATTAACTTCTTTGTAATAGAGATGCTTCAGTAGTCGCGTATTTTTAGATCAGTCAGTAATTGGTGTGAGATGTAGTCAGATGTGGGGAACAAATAGGACCTTTCCACCGCCTAGGTCATAGAACTACCTTTATGGTGCACGTTACTGCTCGCATACATGCTCTCGTCCATCTTGCTTAGGAGATTCAACTGAATCTGCCCCACTGGGTCGGCTAGCTATTTCTAAATCCAAGCTTCACACCCACTCAAGAACTACTAGCTACCTTCTCTATCAATACCTGAAAAAAATATCAACTCAACAACTGTCAGAGAAACCGAGTGGCAACACATACCCACAATCTGCGATAAAGAAGCCACACACTTTGGCGCCATTCAAAACCGCTATGATATTGTAACTAAATGGACGACACACAAAACAATTCATGGCCCCCTATACTGCCTGACAACGCCACTTGTACTAGAAGAGAAAGCCTAAGTACCAAGAGAAATAAAGAAAGAGAGTTCGCAAGGCGAGGACTAATACCACTTATGTTCTAGCACAGACATGATATCCTTTGTATAAAAGTCCAGATAGCAGTAAGAGTAACTAAGCACACTAACCACAAGTCCTAATCTGAATTGAAACAACTGGAACCATAATTATCTATTCAACATCTGATTATTTCACTGAACATAAGCTAAGTTCTCCATAAATAAAATGCAATAAAATTCACAACGTGTTCGAAAATACCCTTTAATAGATGGAACCTATCTGTGCCTACGCACCACAACCCACGTTACGCTAAACCCCTGATCGCAACGGGAAATTCACAAATACATGTTGCTCCTCCAAACAGAAGAGGCCTAAGTGGGCGAATGGGTCGCTCTCTTCTCTTTTATAACTTTCTGACCCCAAGTTTGCTAGGTTTTTAGTTTGCTTTAAGCTTAATCAAGGTTAATATTTCAGCCTCCCTGGGCCTGTCACTTAACACCCATCAAATCTGTTGACGTCCCGACAACTATACAATACATAATTATTGTCTACCAATTTCTTTTTAACTCCTGTTCCACCTTCCGTCAAGTTACTGGCCATAGCCACCTGAAATAAAATCCTCCTCCTGACATAACGTAATGCCTAGTTACTTGCAGCATCATTAACATATACACAATTATCAGTGACACACAACACCAAACTAATACATCTCAGAACTTTACATGTTACCCATTTAAGGCTGGGTCGACCTGAGGGCCAAGATAGTTTTTGAAAAAGTTCGGCTTTTTTCAGATCTGATATCTTTGAATCCGCAGGCGAGTATTTAGACGCTTTAACACGGCAGCTCCTAGAATTTTAATAGCAGATACTTATCTGCAACCATTATACCGATACTTATATGCAACTTTTGTTGCAGATACTTATATACAACTATTATGCAGATGCTTATATGCAACTATTGTGCAGATACTCATATACAACCATTGCGCAGATACTTATACACAACTATTTTGCAAATACTTATATACAACTATTATGCAGATGCTTATATGCAACATTGTGCAGACGCTTATATACAACCATTTTGCAGATACTTATATACAACCATTGTGCAGATACTTATACATAATCATTATGCAGATAACATATAGAATATCAGTGACACCTAAAAGAAACATAATAAAACTACATAAACTTGACAATTAACATGTACTTTACATAACAGCTATGTAAATACTTGTGGCTTGATTGATCAGTTCTGTTGCTAGTTGATACTTGTCCTTGATAGTTCAGCGTGATGTCCCCTGTTGCAATTCTGTTGACGTCATTGTCCCACAGGTCCTTGGATACTTGCGCCAGCGATAAACAGCTCTGTCTTACTTGTGGCTCGCTAGGTCTGTCTGAGAAATATACTTTTCTGTCACATTGGGACGTATAGTAAACTAGTCTAATGAAATAAGTCACAAATAGATAGTGTATGTTTGTGTGTGTGTTTGTGTGTGTGTGTGTGTGTGTGTGTGTGTGAGTATACATATGCGGCTTCTGTGGCTTAGGCGTTGCGAGTCCGACTCGTAATTCCAACGTACAGCGATCGAAACCCACAGCTGGCTGCGTGTATTTCCATCATGGTATGGGGTGTCGCAGGTTGACCAGGCCTTAAATGGGTACCAGGATGGATGTCCTGGGAAAGTAAAGACGGCCGGCGTAATGCTAGACACATTACCCACCTATTGCCGATGGTCTGTATAAATATGAGTGATCTTTCCATATGCTCGATGCGCCTAAGGCGTAAAGGGGATCTTTACTGTACTTTACTCATATATATATCTATATATATATATATATATATATATATATATATATATATATATATATATATATGTGTGTGTGTGTGTGTACATGTATATATATATATATATATATATATATATATATATATATATATATATATATATATATATCCATATATCCATGAGTTGTAAATCAATTGGCTCAGTACTATGGATATCGCAACCGTTCGGCCATGATTCCATGATAGATACCATACCTCTGGTAGAAATGTGGCTTTTTCTGCCTACCTCTGGGGGTACACCCGGACCACAAGGAGTTCGTCATCCGGTCGCCGCGAAGGGTTTTTCAAGCAACTGAGCTAGCAAGCCGGGAAATGGAATTATATAAAATGAAAAAAATAAATAGGTATCTTTGCTACTTATGGACGGCCTAATATGGGACGCATGTTTTTACATTTTTTTATTTTATCTTAAAGCACCACCCCTGCTGACTGACTGACTTTCTATCCCACCAGGACATCACACAGGCGATAAACACCCGATGACACAAAGTGGATAAGGATCACCGTAGAGAGGTCCCAGAAACCGTGTTCAGACAATTAGCCATATTTATGGTTTGCCTATATTGCAGCCCCTGGCAAAAGCCAGGGTGGGGCTTTAAATAACGAAAAATTTCATCTCAAAAAGGACGTTACAATTAATAATACCAGCCCTGCTGTCACCGGGGGCGTTTTTATAACCTAACGGTGTAGCGCTGTTTCTAGGACTTCAGCCTTGGTGATTCTAATCCTAATGGTGGCCTTTTGTGCCACCTGGTGTTTATCGCGCGTTGCACCGGCATGGTGGCGTTGAGCGTTACTAGATCAGTAGTTAAGCAACTTCACTGCAAACAAAAGCGAACTTCGTCTTCTGTCTTTCTAGCTCCAGTGGAGCATAGGGCCTCAAGCAGCTCACGCCAAGTCGCTTTATCCTTCGCTTTAGCATGCAGCTCTTTCCATGTCCTCCTCCTTTTTTTTTAAACTTCCATCCCTAGCTCCCTTCTTGGTGTGTCTTTTGGTCTTTCTTTATTTCCACGCCCCTGTATGTTCCGCTGCAAAGACATTCTAGTTTTATTGTTCTCATGTTTTCTCAACGTGTGTCCTATCCAACGCCAGCATTTTTTCTTCACCTCTTGGTCCACTGATATATATTTACTTCTCTCCCAAAATGTGCATTAGCGATTCTATCGTACGGTTTAATTCCCTCTATAATGCATGGGCCCAGTTAATGAATGTTTGTAGTTTATTACTAACTACTGACTTAGTTGTTTTCTGTTGTTTCCGCTCCATACTACAGTACTGATTTGACATTATAATTTAGAAAAAACTAAATTTAGTATTAGTTTTAATTTCTTTTGACCTCTACAAATTATCTATTGCTATGAAAGCTCCTCTTGCCTTTTGTATTCGCATTTTAACTTCTCAATCAGTTCCCCCATCTTTATCTTCATTACTGCCCAAATAGATGTACGACTCTACGTCTTCGATTTGGATATCATTAAGAGAAACCACTCTACTATTTGCCCCGTTTATACTCATTGTCTTTGTCTTTCCCTTATGGATTTTTAGACCTAGCTGTTATGATCTCGCTTCAAGCGTATTTAATTATCTTGCATCTGATTCCGTACGTGGAACAGAAGAGAAACATCATCAGCAAAGTCCAGATCATCGCGCCGTTTTGGTTGTCTCTTTCGTTGTCCACTCCCTTGTACTGCCATTGGTCCATGCCTTGTTCAACAGCACTTAGATTTTCCATCCAGTTTAGTTTGTTTTAGCCTATTATTATTTTTATATTTTTAGTGAGATCAAAGTAGCTCTCTTATCCTCATTCCTCTTCTCATCTCTTCTCTCTCTCTCTCTCTCTCTCTCTCTCTCTCTCTCTCTCTCTCTCTCTCTCTCTCTCTAGCGTGCGCCCGTTGTATTTTTTAAGGAACCTTCTGTTCAACTAAGTCTCGCAAACCGCCTTATTTGGTTGCTTTTATTTCCATGAAATAAGATATATTCTTCTGTACATACAAATCTTCAGATACACACGTTATTTAGTGTGTGTGTGTGTGTTAAATAATGTCTATCAGCATTAAATTTATATGGAAAGTCCTAATGTGGCGAAGGACATGATACCAGGGAAGTAGGGCAGGGGCCGACCAGCGCGAAGGTGGGGACATGACACAGGAGACACTTCTGACAGTGAAGTGCGTGAGAACTGATAAACTATCAAGGGACGGAGTTTCAGGTAAACTGTAATAGAAGCTATACATTTTTGAGAAACTGTTATATAATTACGAACTACAGGTTTTGGTTTTCAAAGTCATTAACAATGTATACAATTAACCTTACTAACTATCAACTAACCTTGATTATTAATTAACCTTACTAGTTAACAACTAACCTTGATTATTAATTAACCTTACTAGTTAACAACTAACCTTGATTATTAATTAACCTTACTAGTTAACAACTAACCTTGATTATTAATTAACCTTACTAGTTAACAACTAACCTTGATTATTAATTAACCTTTCTAGTTAACAACTAACCTTGATTATTAATTAACCTTACTAGTTAACAACTAACCTTGATTATTAATTAACCTTACTAGTTAACAACTAACCTTGATTATTAATTAACCTTACTAACTATCAACTAACCTTGATTATTAATTAACCTTACTAGTTAACAACTAACCTTGATTATTAATTAACCTTACTAGTTAACAACTAACCTTGATTATTAATTAACCTTACTAGTTAACAACTAACCTTGATTATTAATTAACCTTACTAACTATCAACTAACCTTGATTATTAATTAACCTTACTAGTTAACAACTAACCTTGATTATTAATTAACCTTACTAGTTAACAACTAACCTTGATTATTAATTAACCTTACTAGTTAACAACTAACCTTGATTATTAATTAACCTTACTAGTTAACAACTAACCTTGATTATTAATTAACCTTACTAGTTAACAACTAACCTTGATTATTAATTAACCTTACTAGTTAACAACTAACCTTGATTATTAATTAACCTTACTAGTTAACAACTAACCTTGATTATTAATTAACCTTACTAGTTAACAACTAACCTTGATTATTAATTAACCTTACTAGTTAACAACTAACCTTGATTATTAATTAACCTTACTAGTTAACAACTAACCTTGATTATTAATTAACCTTACTAGTTAACAACTAACCTTGATTATTAATTAACCTTACTAGTTAACAACTAACCTTGATTATTAATTAACCTTACTAGTTAACAACTAACCTTGATTATTAATTAACCTTACTAGTTAACAACTAACCTTGATTATTAATTAACCTTACTAGTTAACAACTAACCTTGATTATTAATTAACCTTACTAGTTAACAACTAACCTTGATTATTAATTAACCTTACTAGTTAACAACTAACCTTGATTATTAATTAACCTTACTAGTTAACAACTAACCTTGATTATTAATTAACCTTACTAGTTAACAACTAACCTTGATTATTAATTAACCTTACTAGTTAACAACTAACCTTGATTATTAATTAACCTTACTAGTTAACAACTAACCTTGATTATTAATTACCCTTACTAGTTAACAACTAACCTTGATTATTAATTAACCTTACTAGTTAACAACTAACCTTGATTATTAATTAACCTTACTAGTTAACAACTAACCTTGATTATTAATTAACCTTACTAGTTAACAACTAACCTTGATTATTAATTAACCTTACTAGTTAACAACTAACCTTGATTATTAATTAACCTTACTAGTTAACAACTAACCTTGATTATTAATTAACCTTACTAGTTAACAACTAACCTTGATTATTAATTAACCTTACCACATAATGCCCCTGTCAAGTGTGACATGCCACATATGACAATGAAGACGCCTCGAATCCTGTTCATTCTATGGCTACAATGATCCCGCTGAGTGTTGAACTGCTAACAACTGCTGAGAAGAAATGTTAACAAATGTTAGCTGGGCAATAACGGAGATTAGCTACTGTGAGTCTGTCGTGACCCTCGAGATTGAACTAGGGCTTGCTTCCTGCGGCGAAAGGTTTAGAAAACCGTCCTCGTGGTGTTCAAACAACGGTAAGAGAGTCGCACCGTGAAAAAAAATGATTGACGCCTCTTGTAAAATTCCGTAAGACAACAATGGTACACTGTAGCTAACCTGTATTGTCAAGACGGCACAACGTTTAAACCAGTGTACCCATTGCTGCGTAATGCTGAACACATCACCCACCAAGTACTGATTGGTCTATGAAATATAGGTCTAGCCCTATATGCCCAATACGCATGAAAGCTTGAAGAAGGGTACGTTACTTTACTTATCTACTGCTGTTATTTTGAATCTTACATGACAAGACTCCGATCTCTTTCACGGCTCCATTGTACGAAAATAACAAATGCTATTTTATTTAAATAAACGACCGTTGCGAAAACCTAGCCTAGTACTCGAGAATCATAACATTGTTGAAAGTATTCACTCACCTCTACTCCAAAGAGCTGCACAATTAAAAAAAAAAATTAACACTTGTTGAAAATCAAGAATTTTACATTATACGAAAACCTGATACGAAATAATAGATGCCTGAGTAGGCTGTGACATTCCTGACTCAGTCATATGCAGATAAAGTGAATGGAAGGTATTCAACGACTAGAGGCGTATAGAGAATGAAACCATTACATAAAATTGGAAACCAAAAAAAAAAAAAAACACTTTTATACTGTAAGATTTTATTATTTATCCTGCGTACATTAACTAATGCACCAACAAGATTAACACATACTTCATCACATGGTATATTGGTCACCGTATTTTTACAATGTCGTTTTTTTTTTCAAATTTGTATCGTATGCATACTTTATGAAATAATTTAATGGATATATTATATTATTTAATGGATAGTTTAGCAGACCATCTGTACAAACATTCAACTACAATATTATGTAATGGCCAACAAAATCGTGGAGCGCCCACATACAAGAGGTATTTGTATACTTTAATCAAATTTATAATCATAGTGACTTGTAAACAAGTTGAGTCGAGCAATACAAACTGTTTTAATCACCATTCAAAAAAAAAAAAAAAACTTTTCTGATATTTTCCCCCATTATTTTTTGTTTCCATGTCATCCGCAAATCATGTGTGTGAAAAATATCAGCATTATAGCTTATTGGTAAAAAGTATAAAAATAATCGGGCGCTCAATCTCCTACAGAAAAACAAACGTAATCAAAATTAGTAAAAGTTTATTTGAGAGAAAAACAATCTTAACAAGAAGTAAAGCTAGTTAGTTTCGAAAACAAAACAAGGAAAGGTAATTACGGATGACAAAATTAAAGTCTCTGTCGTCTGTACTATACAGGTGTGACCCCAGTAACATATCCTAGATGCACTGTCAGCGTGAAAAGGGTAACTCTACATTATACCTTGTTAATTCCGTAAACTTTAAACTCCGAATGTTACAGTACGCTTCAAAACTAGTGCCCTGACGCTATAACCAATATCTCAAAAATTCATGGAGGCTACGGATCAACACGAATTTTTGTGCATATGGTCTTAGATTTCCTGTGTCCTTATCATGTTATAATTTACAATTGCACATGAGTTACTGTTTTCTTAAAGCGGTTAATTTCTTTGATGTTTATTTTACTAATATATGCGTAATCTGAAAATAGAATGTACAGTAACTGACATGTGTGGAGATTTGTGTGTCAAATCAGTTCACATGCTCAGTGGTTATTTTTTTGTTAACCTATTCCGCACGTCGGCTCTGTGGCTAAGTCGATGCTAACGCTTAGTAATGCTGGGATGCCGGGTTCGATCCCAGCTGCAGGCCATGCCCCTTGCCTTGGTTTCAACAGTGGTATCAAGAAAGCCGACCGTCCAGGAAGCAATGGCAAACTGCTGAACGTAAATTTGCTTAGAAAAACCACAGAACAGCCAGGGGCTGTTAGGGTTGGTTCTGCAACGTCCTGTAAAGGATACGCAACTAACCAATACTGCACACCATAAAAAATCAACAACCACGGGAGGCAAACGCTGGAGATGACCAACTGAGGGTGAAACGCCTATAAAAACAATTTGCAATTTTATGTTTTTAGAATTTCTTGTTACTCAGTTAACTGTAAGCATACTGACTGTTTGCTTTGGACCGGTGTCTGTGTTTTTTTTTTTTTTTTTTTCATATACCGCAAATTGAGCAAAATGAAAACTAGATGTTTGATTAAATAAAAAAAAGTTCTACAAGAACATGACTATTAACAGGTTTCATGCCACATTTCACCAGCCTACACCGAATGGATTTCATATTTTTAAAGTTGGGCACGAGTTCTGGAATGGATTATAGGCAAGTTTAGAGGATCATTAAATACTGTCAGGAAAGCACACTAATTATCTGTTGCACCTTTCTGCGACAGTATGTTCCATATTTATATAAAAACATTAAAAGCATTGTATAGAAACATCAGAGAAGCGTCCTTGTTTTTTTTAGAAATATACTGGAGAAGCGTCCTTCTTACATAGATTTATACTGGAGAAGCGTCCTTCTTACATAGATTTATACTATTGAAGAGTCAATCTTTCATAGATTTATACTGGATAAGCGTCCTTGTTACATAGATTCATACTGGAGAAGCGTCCTTCTTTCATAGATTCATACTGGAGAAGCGTCATTCTTACATAGATTAATACCGGAGAAGCGTCATTCTTACATAGATTTATACTGGAGAAGCGTCCTTCTTACATAGATTTATACAGGAGAAGCGTCCTTGTTACATAGATTTATACTGGAGAAGCGTCTTTCTTACATAGATTTATACTGGAGAAGCGTCCTTGTTACAAAGATTTATACTGGAGAAGCGTCCTTCTTACATATATTTATACGGGAGAAGCGTCTTTCTTAGATTTATACTGGATAAGCGTCCTTGTTACATATAATTATACCGGAGGAAAAGTCCGTGTTTCAAAGAAACATAATAAAGAAGCATTCTTGTTACATAAAAAAAAAAACTTAAGAAGTGTTATTGTTACATAGAATTATACTGGAGGGGCGTCCTTGTTACACAAAAATATACTGGAGAAGGTCCTTGTTACATATAATTATATTGGAAAAGCGTTCTTGTTAGACATAATTATGCTGGGGAAGGTCCTTGTTACACATACTTATACTGGAGAAGGTCCTTGTTACAAATAATTATACTGGAGAAGGTCCTTGTTACATAGAATTATACTGGAGAGGCATCCTTGTTACACATAATTATACTGGAGAAGCGTCCTTGTTACATAGAATTATACTAGAGAAGCGTTCTTGTTTTATAGAATTATAATAGAGAAGACATATAACTGAGAAGCGTCTTTTTATAAAGATATTTTCTGGGCAGAGTTTTGTTGTTGTTGCACAGACACGTAAAGAGGATGAGAAAGGGTCAGAGAGCGAGAGAGCCAGAGAAAGACAGTCACGCAGACAGATACACTGAGAGAGAGAGAGAGAGAGAGAGAGAGAGAGAGAGAGAGAGAGAGAGAGAGAGAGAGAGAGAGAGACAGACAGAGAGAGAGAGAGAGAGAGAGAGAGAGAGAGAGAGAGAGAGAGACATAGAGACTGAGAGAGAGAGGAGATAAAGAGAGAGCTGTCTCAGGCCTAACATAATAAAAGGCTACACATCCTATATGCAAAAACTAACCAACCGAAACAGAATGCAACACTGAAGACAATTCGCAACACTTCCTTGTGTCGGTAATATTAGCCATGGAAGCAACATGTTTTCTTTCTCCCATGTTTACTATCGCCACGTATGTAATGACAGATGTAATCAGCAGGGACGTGACTTCAGAACCATACACCGTACCTGTCGTTTCCCCGTGTGGTTCCGGGGGAAACGTTGGAAAAGGGAGGGAGAGGGGGATACTTAATGCCTCTTAACATGTCGTAAAAAAAGTGACTAATCAGGGTTTTGGGTAATATAAACGTTAGTCTCCCCGTTTACACAGTGTGACACACTAGCTTACTTCTGATTGGTCAACCTTCAGCCTAGCTCACTTCCGATTGGTCTACCTTGAGCCACGCTACATTGTCAGAGTGTTGCAGGGGTTTCCGGCAATGCCGTTGATATCGCGTGTTGTTTTTTCAGCACGTACAGATTTTAACGCTCCCAAAAACATCGACAAACTGGGTCTAACACAAAACCCTTTTAGAGAGTGATGAAACCTGCAGCAAGGTTGACAAGCTCCCAAAAAAACTTATGAACGGAACGTGACCTGCTTTATTTGGGGAGACTAACGTTTGTATAACCGGGTTTTCTTAGATCAGATGTGCTAAGCCTACAGAAAGGCGTAAATAATGCAGCTTTACTAAATCATAAGAAAACGCAGATGATATACTACTCGTCAAACGAAGGTTAATAGCAACCCGGTGAATTCTGCCTTCTTCAGCTTTTGTTCTCTCACTGTCAACCGTGGGGGTTCTGGTGGGCGGGGGTGCGGGATAGGTCATTTTTGTTAGGGGGGAGGAAAGGGGAATAAGAATAGACCCGTTGACTTTTAACGTTTTCAATCAGCAGATTGAAAACAGCAGAAAACATGGCGGAGTGAGCCAAAGTCGGTTAACAATCTGTGGGGCGAAAATGTGTGTTTTTGTGTGTTTTCAAAAATCAGTGTGTTCAAATAAGGATGATCCTGCGACAGGTCCAGCAAACGGGTAGGGAATTTATTTGTTCACGGCTTATTGCTAAAGAATTATGGAGACATTTGATTGACAGAGAAATAGAAACCAGATGTCAGAAAGCAAGTGCACTTATATACCAATTTTCACCATTATTAAGACATCCAAGCATAACTATGAGTGCAAAGAGACAGATTATTAATAGCATATTCATTCCAACATTAAGCTACCAGTGCCA